TGTGTGTGTATGTGTGTGTGTGTGTGTGTGTATGTGTGTGTGTGTGTGTATGTGTATGTGTGTGTATGTGTGTGTGTGTGTGTGTGTATGTGTGTGTGTGTTGGTGAGGTACAAGGGAGGGTGGAGGAGGCTAGTTATGGAAGAATATATTTTGTCTTTCAGGATTTTTTTTAGGAAAAATTACTTGTTGAAACAGAGAGATGGTGTAATGTCTGCTGGTGACTGTAAAAACAAGTTGAGAACAGCAGGGGCTGTTTAGGAATGACTGTGTGTAGCCACACTTCGGTGTCTGCCGAAGGTTGGTCCAGAAACCCCCTTCCTTCAGGTCAGACATCTGAAGCGGCTCAAGCCATTTATACAGAACGGGTAACTATTGTAAATCACACCCACACACCCTCTAATATAACTGCATTGTGCCTAGATTGCTTACGGTAGCTAACAGAATATCACTTGCAAGCAAGTAGTTGCTGTGCCATTGTTGAGGGAATAATAATGAGAAAAAAAGTTCACATGTTCAATGCAAATGGGTTCCCCCCCCCCAAGTATTTGTCTTCTGCAATTGCTTGAATCCATGAATGTGGGACCCATGAGCATGGGACCCACTCTACTGTAGCCGTGGAGCGGTGTGCAGTTTGCAGGCTCCGTGGGGCCCTTATCCAGGGTACATAGTCAGGTGTCTTTACTTCCATTGACAGACTTCTTAGACCAAAATGTTCTTAAAGATTGAGTCTGTGCTGCTAACACCTTCTCACATGAAGCCCCAATCAAGCAATTAACAAGAATTAATGAGCGAGCTGTCTGTGGAAGTGTCCCAGTGTGCCAGCTGCCTGGCAGGGAGTGGGGACTCACAAGCCACTTACATTCTGCCTGCATTTATTAACACACATTAGTGAATTCTGGGCAATGCCTGTCCTCTGTGGCTGGTTCTGCTGTGGATCTCACATTCAGAGGCTGTGTGGAGAATGGAGTTAATGGTCAGGTTTGCACTACACTGCTCTGGGATCCCAGCTCACTGCCCAGCCTCTGTTAGCCTATATTGGGCAGCCTATCCCATTTAGGAACTCCATTTGCTATGCCCAAACTTCCTCCAGTCAGGTTGCCAGGCTGCCAGGCTGCATGGGTCCATAGAGGCAAAGAAATCCCAGCAGCCTCCAGTGAGAGGCTCATGCTGTAATTCCCAAGTCCTGGTTTCCTTTGGCTTCCTCAGCGAAGGAGGAAATAGTCACTCAGGAGCCACTTAAACCCAGCTTCCTCAGAGTAAATGTAAGTGAACCTGAAGCCTATTTTCCGGCCTGATGTACTCCCTGCTTTTAGAGACTTGAGACTGCCCCCATGAACACATGGATTACCTCCCTAACACCTGACCCCAGGAAACCCAGGACAGTGAATGGGAGGACTGGCCAGTGTCCTCTAGGGAAGGGTGTCTCTAATCAAGCCCCCTTATGCAAAGGAAAGAGCTGTACAGTATTCTCTCTGCATCCTTATCAGTTCCTCAGGGACAAGGCAAGAAGGCAGGGGCCGTCTGGAGGTAAAAAGGCTCCCCTCATAGTGGAGCGTATGGTACTGGTGCACAGTACTGAGTGCCTAATACTGAGTGCATAGTGCTGAGGTCATAGTGTTTGCCCGTAGTATTGATTGTACATCTTCACAGACATTTTTCTTTCTTTCTGTTTAAAATCTTTGTGTGGAGTGTGTTTAGCATTGCATAGACTGTGTTCGGCATTACAGGGACTGTGTTTGGCATTGTATGGAGCGTGTCCATTCAGCTCTCATTTTTCTGTCCATTTGCCTCTTATTAATGAGGAGCTGTCTGAGCCAGGATCATTCACAAGGCTGTTTGTCTTTTGAGGTGGCATCTCCAGAGCCCACAGTAAAGTCCCCGCTTTTCCCCTTTGAGCTGCTCCCCCAGGCAGGGCGCCTTCACACTTTCCCGTGCAGGTGACTCATTCTGGTGAGCCTCTTGCTTAGTGGCTCACAGCAGGGAAGAGTTGTGACCCCCCCAGGGGACATTTGATGAGGTCTGTAGATATTTTCAATTGTCACATACTGGGCTGGGAGAGTAGTAGTCCATAGCATCCAGGGGTTGAGGCCAGAGATCGGCTAAACACCCTACTATGTACAGAACCCACCCACTGCCAACAGCAAAGACCAACTCTAAAACTTAAATCCTACCAAGCCTGGGGAAACCCTGGCCTGGCCTACCACCCTCAAAAGTTGTTAAGTATCTCTCTTGCCCCTCCTCCCTCAACTCCTTACCTCCCTTGAAAATGTATGAAACTTACAATTCATGATATTCACAGTGGATGAAAGAGTGGAGGCAAGAGGATCAGAGGTTCAAGATCATCCTCAGTCATATATTGAGTTCCAGACCAGCCTGGTTTATAAGAGACCGTGCCTTGGGATGGGGATGGGGGAATAAACAAACAAACAAAGTGTCCAGAAGCCCTGAGGAGGAAACTTTCATGATTTTTCCCCCAACCAAAACTCCAGCTTTGTCCAATGGTATCTTTGGAGGGCCGATCCCTGCCTAACAGGTAGCCGCCTGCTCTTTAAATCCGGGTGAGTGAAAGCCTCTTCCAGGACGGTGTTCACTCCAGCCAGTGGATTCTGCCAGCTTCTTAACTGAGATCAGATCGTCTGTCCCCTTGACACTTAGAGCTACCCATTCCCTTTTGGGGGCCATCAGGGGGAAAGAGCGGAGTGGCCGTGCTATGCATTGTTGAATGTTTAACAGCATACCAATGGACTCCCACCACCACACACACACACACACACCCCACACACACCACCCACCCACCCACACACACACACACCCACACACACACCAC